GGGGTCAGGGGTGGAGGCAGTCCCTGGCCCCCGTCCCTCTCCCCGTCCTCGGCCTCAGCTCCCCCAGTGGAGTCGCGGTCGCTCCCCAGCCACCGCACCAGGGGCCCTGGCCACTCTTCCAGCAGGTTCCAGAAGGTTCCAGAGGGTTCCAGCTCCAGCCTGTGCGGCTCCCGCTGGCCCGGTCGCGGGCAGGCGTCCAGACCCGGCCTCCGTGAGGCGCCGGGGCCTCTGCACCCGCCAGAGTGCAGCGAGCACGTGTGTGCACACGGATGCTCGTGCGTGTGTGTGTGAGTGCATTGTGCACTGTGTGCACATGTGTGTGCATGTGTGTGTGCACACGTGAGCGTGAGGGGTGTGGGTGGAGTGAAGAAGTGTCAGGAAAGGAGGCTGGGAGCCAGCATCGGGTGACCCAGCAATCCTGGGTCCTGAGAGACGCCCTGGTCCAGACAGGAAGAGCCAGGCCAGAGGGGCAGGGGGGAGAACCCCAAAACTTCTCACAACCCCCCAGGGCCTGGGCAGGCGGCTCAGGGGTGGAGCGCCCACCTCGCACGCACGAAGCCCTGGGTTCGAGTCCTCAGCGCCACACACACCAAAAAACCCACAAGTGGCGCCGTGGCTCACGTGGTGGAGCGCCAGCCCTGAGCCAAAGCAGCTCAGGGACAGCGCCCAGGCCCCGAGTTCAAGTCCCGGGACTGGCAAAAACAACACAAAAGAAAAAGCCAACGAAGGCCAACACCAGCTCCCCAAACTCAAAGCACCAGATGCGAATGACATCAGCCCTCGGATCCTCCATGGCCTGCCACGCACGCAAAACGCAGCCACAGCTCCCAGGCCGCGTGATCACACGCACACGCACACACACGCCCGCACACGCATGCACACACACGCACACGCATGCACACACGCACACACACGCACATGCACGCATGCACACACACGCACACATGCACACATGCATGCACACGCACACACCTAGTGCACCAGCCATTGCTGTCTCAGTATAAGTGTTCTGGTTGGCTGGGGGCCGTGACAGGTATGGGAGCCTCGGATCTCAGCCTCCCGGGCTGGGATGGCAGGCGGGAGCTGCCCGGCCCGGCCCAGCCCTCTCTCTCTCTCTGGGGCCGAGGGAAGGTCGGACTTGCCTGCAGGCTGTGAGCAGGCCGGCTGCCGGCGCCCCTCCAGCCTGTGGTCACCCCCCCAACCTGGGGGCCCCCAAGTGCTACTTCCTCTTTGGAGCTGTGTCAGCTTCCTGGCAGCGGTGTCTGGGCCAGCAGGACCGGGCCGGCAGGTAAGGCCGGGTGCAGGCCGGGGGTGGGGGCGGGGAGGTGGGTCACGGGCAGGGGAGGGGGGACATGTTCTCCCAACTGAGACCCGCCCCTCCGCACATGGACTCCCAGGCTTGGCCGGAAGTCCCCCGCTCACCCCCGTGTCTCTGGGGGCTTGGGAGTGGGTGGGAAAGGACTTTGGGGGTGGTGTATGTGTGTACGGGGGCCACATCCAGCCTCTGTCGTTGACAGATAAGGAAACGGAGGCTCAGCGTGGGTCTCAGAGGCCTGGCTTGGAACTCAGGCCGCAAGGGCTGGCGCAGCAGCGGCCAGGGTGGCCACGTGTGGCAGGGGACGCTGCAGAGACACAGGAGGGGAGCGTCAGGGGCAGGAGGAGGCACACGCTTCGCTCACGCTAGCTGACAGGAAGGGAGACTGAGGGGCAGAAGACACACACACGCACGCACATGCACACATGCACACACACAGCAGCGAGTGACCTTCTGGAACTTTCTCTGTGGTGGGCGGTGGGCAGGTCTCGGCCTCCCTCCATTTCGGCCGGTGGGTCTGGTCAGTCAGCTGGAGGAGGGGCGTCCAGGGGGGCCTCTTCCAGCCTGCGGGGGGGGGAGGGGGGAGGCAGGCGGGAGGGGGGTGTTTTGTCTTCTAGAAGATTCCTCCGGAGCCTGAGCCCTCCCTGCCCCCCATCGTTTGTCTTGGCCTCCAGCCCGGGCGGCGTTTCCTGGCTGTGCACACATCCTGGTCGGCCTCGTGGCCCTGGGGTGGGGTGGGGTGAGGGAGGGCGGGGTCCCCAGCTTGGGGTTGGCCAGGTGCTTCTAGAAGATGCCAGAAGGTAAGAGCAGGTGCGTGGCCCTGGGTGGAGACCCCTTAGCCGGCACTGCCCCCCGGGGCCGGGCCGCGTCTCTGCTGGGGGGGGGCTGACGCTAGCTCCTGGCCCTCGGGATGCTGGGTTCGAGGCCAGGCAGGGCCCCCCACCCCGTGGCGCCCTCCCTCCCTGCCCCCTGCCTTTCCTGCCGGACTAGGGTTTGAACTCGGGACCCCGAGCTCGCTCTTACCTGTGTGGCAGGGCCCAGCCTCAGACTGCGGGCCTCCACGCACGGCCTCCTCCCTCAGGGCTGTCCCTCCCCGGCTAGCCTCCAGCCAGCGTCTTCCCGTCCCCCACCTCGCGTGGCTGGCGTGGCGGGCGGGCGGGCGCCCCCAGACCCGGCCTGTGCACGCTTTCCACATGGTGGACGCCAGCCCTGCTATTCAATTAGGAGACGCTCTTGAGCTGCTAGAATGTTCCAGGCGCTGTCCTGAGTCCTGGGGGGCTGAGGTCCGAGGATCGAGGTTCCAAGCCAACCTGGGCAGCCAAGTCCACTAGGCTCTTCCCAAAATAACCCAGGGCCCGCGTGCTGTCTCCTGAGCTGTTCACGCTCAAGTCTGGTGCTCTACCGCCTGAGCCACACCTCCACTTCCGGCTTTTTCCTTCCGCCAGTCCTGGAACTTGCACTCAGGGCCGGTGCCCTGTCCATAGTCAAAGCCAGCGCTCTACCACTTGAGCCACAGCGCCACTTCCAGCTTTTTTCTGCTTCTGGGGTGCTGAGGAATCGAACCCAGGGCCTCATGCATGCAAGGCAAGCGCTCTACCACGGAGCCACCTGCCCAGCCCGCACTTGGGGCTTTTCTGCTGGTTCCTGGGGGGGATAAGAGTCTTCCCTGGACTTTCCTGCCCGGGCTGACATTGACCCTCGATCCTCAGACCTCAGCCTCCTGAATCTGCTGAGATGGCAGGCGGGGACAGCAGAGCCCGGCCTCCGCCTTTGGCTTTCAGTGCTGAAATCCTGGCCGGTTGGTTGGTGTGTGGTTGGAGTTGTGCCAGGAGGAAGAGATAAGCCGGCCTGGCCACGGCCCAGCCGGGGCGGGGGGGGGGAGACAGGGGGAGGGGGGACGGGGGGAGGGGGGACAGGGGAGGGGCCGTCCCAAAGCCAGACGTGGACGCGCTGGCCCCTGCGATAGTCCAGCGTTCCTCGGCCTCCTGGCCGGCCTCAGCCAGTCCCGGCTGCTGGTGGAGGCCGGGCGCTGGGCCTCTGCGGCGTCCCCGCCCAGAGGTGGCCAGGGCGGAGCTGGGGGGGGCACGTGGGAACCGGCTCTCCTCCCGCAGTCCTCAGTCTGGCAGGGCGCACGGGACCGGCTTGTGGTGAGCTCTGGGGAGCACCAAACAGGGGGTGTGCGAGGGGCGGAGAAGGCTCTGACAGACAAGGGGGGACCTGCTCTCCAGGCTTGTATGCCCCCCCCCAAGTTGATCTGCAAGCCTGCAATCCCTGTGTGTGCGTGCGTGTGTGTGTGTGTGTGTGCACACGTGTGCACCAGTCCCGGGGCTTGCATTTACCACTTGAGCTCTGTGCCTTAATTTGTTTTTTCTTTTGGTCGGTTGTGGGGCTTGAACTCGGGGCCCGGGCGCTGTCCCTCAGCTCTTCAGCTCAAGGCTGGCGCTCTACCCCTTGAGCCACAGCGCCACCTCTGGTTTTCTGGGGGTTCATTGGAGTTCAGAGTCTCCCGGACTTTCCTGCCTGGGCTGGCTTTGAACCACGATCCTCAGATCTCAGCCTCCTGAGTCGCTGGGATGACAGGCAGGAGCCACCTCCCCCCCCCCGGCTTCCCCCCCTTCCAGTTCTGCCCTGTGTTCTGTGTGCGAGATTTGTGGAGATCTCGGGGTGAGCCTCTTGCCCCCCTCCATCAAGAGGAGTCTCTCTCAAGAGGTAACGGGAGGAGAGGAGACGGAGAGAGAGGGCATCAGAAAATGTCCACAGGGCAAAAGCGGTGATGACAGCTTCTAGAATGTTCCAGAGAACTGGACCTGGAAGTTGGCAAGGTCACAGTGTGTGTGTGTGTGTGTGTGTGTGTGTGTGTGTGTGTGTCTGGGGTTTGAACTCGGGGCCTGGGCGCTGTGTCCCTGAGCTTTGTTTTCGCACAGGGCTGGCTCTCTACCACTTGGGCCAGAGCTCCACTTCCGGCTTTTTCCTTTTTGTGATGGTTCATCGTTTCTGACACGGTTAGAGCGGAGGGGCTGTGCTGACGCAGCGGGCAGAGCGCAGCTCCCCCGTGAGGATGGTGGATGTCACTCCCGGCTTTCTGCGGGTGCTCACTGGAGATCAGAGTCTCCCAGACTTCCCCGGCCTGGGCCGGCTTTGAACCGCGATCCCGCGGATCTCAGCCTCCCGAGTTTGTCTGGGATGACAGCTGCCCACCGCCTCACCCGGCTGCCGGCATTCGTCCTCATGATGATGGTCTTGCTGCGTCTGGGGGGGGCAAAGCCTGACCCCGTCTTAAGTAACTACACCCAGAGCCGAGCAGCCATGAGAACAGCAGCATCCACACCGGGCTCCATGATGCTGCTTCACAGACTCGCACCCGGGGCAGGCACCAGCCGGGCCTCTGCAGAGGTGTCAGGGGAGGGGGGTAATGGGGTGGGGGGACAGGGGCCAGGGTCCCCCCGATCCCCCCACAAAGGTTTGAACGTTCTGAGATCGGCCCAGTCTAAGGTGCTGGGCCCAGAGCTGGGCTGGGTCGGGGCGATCGGAGGTCTTGGGGCGCTGGCTGGGGCGCCAGGGGGGTCCCAGCCCCCGGGGGGACGTGGGGCGGGCGACGGGGGACCCAGCCCTCGCCCCAAGTGGCTTCCAGCCCCGGTGGCTACACATGAGCACCTGGTGTGTGGGGCAGGAAGGAAGTGGGGGCCGGGCCGAGCGATTGCGCCATCATTCGCACCCACAGCTCTCGGCGATGGGGGGGGCAGGGCACCCCAAGAACACGGCCTTCCCTCCCCACCTCTCCAATCGGGGCTCGGCATTGTGCATCCTGTCATTTCCCACTGAGGACAAACCCAGCCGGCCGCGGCTGGGGGTGGACGGAGCCCCCACCCCCCAAGGGAAGGCCCCCCCCACACTTGGGGCCTTTTGTGTTTGGGGGTTTTCTTTTCCCTCTGGCTGTTACTTTTTTCTCCTCGCTCCGTCTGCTCTGCAGTTACCGGGGAGAGAAGCCCGGCCGGGGTTTGCCGTTTGTGGGTTCCTCCTCTGAGCTAACCACCCGATGCCCTTGAGTTTGGGGGTGAGGAGGGGACCCCGGCCTCTCCGGGCCTCTCTGGTCTGCCGCAGTGCGTGCCCCACGCAGGCCTCCCGCCGCCGGGGGCCGGGGGGCCGGGCCGTGACACACCCGTGTGGCTGAGACTCCCCGCGACAGTCCGGGAACGGGCCGGGCTGGGGTCAGGGCTGCGTGGGGTCACGGCTGCGTGGGGGCACGCAGGTCCTTCGAGTCCCCGAGGGGCGGTGGTGGGGAGGGCGCCGGGCACAGGGCCACCCGGGGGGCTCCTGAGGGCCATGGCCAGGCTGGACACGGCCGGTGGCCTCAGATCGACCACGGCTGGAGGGCAGCGTCCCAGCCTTACAAACAGGGTGTGTGTGAGAGACAGACAGACAGACAGACAGACAGAGACAGAGAGAGAGTGTGCGTCCTAGGGCTTGAACTCAGGGCCTGGGCTCTGTCCCTGAGGTTTTGCATTCAAGGCTGGTGCTCTACCACTTGAACCACACCTCTACTTCCAGCTTTTTGCTGGTTCGTCAGAGAGAAAGAATCTCACAGACTTTCCTGCCCGGGCTGGCTTTGAACCGTGATCCTCAGATCTCAGCCTCCCGAGTAGCTGGGATGACAGGCGGGAGCCATTGGTGCCATCTTTGAAAGCCCCACCCCTGTGTGCCTGTGTGTGTGTGTGTGTGTGTGCGTGTACATGTGTGCAAGAGATGGAGAAGATGGTCAGACACAGATGCAGGGCACAAGGTACAGATCTCAAGCCATCTCTGCAGGCCTTGGGGTGCCCTGTGGGGTTTGGGGTGCCCTGTGGGGTTTGGGGTGCCCTGTGGGGTTTGGGGTGCCCTGCAGGATTCGGGGTACCCTGCGGGAATCCGTTTCCCCAGGGCAGGGTTGTTCCCGCCGTGCATTGGAAGTGTTGCCCCTTCAGGTCAGATGAACTGGCCCAGCCCACGTCCACACCGGGCCGGTCACTAGCCAAGGGCTGTTGGGTAGAGCTGGAGAAAGTTCCAGACACGTGGAAGGGTGGGGGGCGGGGAGAGGAGGGGAGGGCCTGGGGAGCAGAGGGGCTTCTGCAGGCCAGGGACGCTCTGGGTTAGAACCCCAGGAACAGAGACCACAGCCGTGGGGGGCCCTGGGCGGGCAGCACAGCGGCCATGGGGCCGGGAAAGAGACCCGCCACCCCTCGGGGCCCGGCTGCACCCCACTACTGTAAACACCTGCCCACCCGCTGCCCACCAGCTCCCCAGCATGCTCCTCCCCCACCGAGCCAGGCTGGAACCGAGCGTGGGGGAGCCTCGGGGTCCCCCCCAGCGGCCCCTGGGCCTCTCGGGATCCACACCTGCACCCGGCCCTAGACAGTGGGAAGGAAGGGAGACGCGTGCACCGCGGCTGGCTGGCACGGCCGCGTCTTCCGTGGATCCACGTGCGCGTGTATGTTACATAACCTCTCCCGGCCGCCGCCAGCACCCCGCTTCCGTGGCCCGCCCCCCTTTCCTGCGTGCGCCCAGAAGCCTGGGCCGCCAGAGTCCCGACGGGGTGCGGCTCTTCCCTCCCTCCCGCCTTGGATCATGTTTTACAATTAGAGAGGACCCCTGCTGTCTCCCCACCCCGAGACCATCGGCTGTGTGTGTGTGCGTGTGCGCGCACGCTAACCGTGTGGCGGAGGTAAAGCCGTCCGGGTGTCGGGGTGTGGCGTGGTCTGCGTGTGGTAGAATGACGTTGCCTCTCTGACATTATTAAACAACTCCGGGCCGGGGGTGGCGGCTCCGGCCTGTCACCCCAGCGACTCAGGAGGCTGAGATCCGAGGATCGCGGTTCAAAGCCAGCCCGGGCAGGAACGTCCGTGCGACTCCGATCTCTGATCTGAACCACCAGAACACCGGACGTGGCGCTGGGTGGTTGCTAAGGGGGTGTCAGCCCCAGTGGGGGGGGCACGTCCCCCCTTTTCTTCTCTCTCTCATCCCTTGTCTCCCCCCTTCTCTCTCCCATCGTCCAGACCTGGGTTCTGGAACGTCGGGGAACGCGGTAGAGGGGATGGCTGTCCCCGAAGGCGGGGCGGGGTCCCCACCCCGGGGTCCCGGCCAGGGGCCGGAGGAAGAGGAGGCGCAGGACCCCGGCCAGCACGGCTGGCTGAGGAAGGCCCGGGAATTCTTCCAGACCTGCGACCCGGAGGGAAAAGGCTTCATCGCCAGACAAGACCTGCAGGTGAGCCTGAGTCCGTGTGTGCGTGTGTGTGTGTGCACGTGTGCGTGTGTGTGTGCGTGTGTGTGTGTGTGTGCACGCACGCACCAGTCCTGGGGCTTGAACTCGGGGCCTGGGCGCCATCCCTGAGCTCTTTTTCACTCAAGGCTGGCGCTCGACCCCTTGGGCCACGGCTCTGCGGCCGGTTTTCTGGTGGTTCACGGGGGAGGAGCAGCCTCACAGACGTTGCTGCCCGGGGCTGGCTTTGAACCGCGATCTCCAGCTCTCGGCCTGCGGGGCAGCTGAGCACCGGCTCCGGACTTTGTATTT